TCTTTCCATGAATCTGGAGTTCTCAGCTGCTCCTTCTCTCCATGTCCCCATCTCTGCGTCCATCTCTGGTGTAGCTGCTTCTCTGGATAAGGTCCCACATTCCGCCTGTGCTCTTCTCCTTTGATGGTCTTAGGGTGCTGTGTTTCTGGACTGTAAGATAACTTACTCCCCTGTTTTTGTTAGAAAACGTCTACCCTTACAATTGTGACAGTCGCAATTAGTCATGGTAACAATTACTACTGAATCGTACGAACCTTATCCCCATTTCTTTTTACCAGATCTATCTAGAAGGAGCTCTGGTAGCGTAGTGGTTACGAATTGGGCTGCAAACCTTAAGGTCAGCGGTTCGAAACTACCAGTCTCTCCGCGGGAGAAAGATGAGGCTTTCTACTCCCGTAAGGATTTACACCCTCGGAAACCCTGTACAGGGTCGCTATGGGTCAGAACCAACTCGAAGGCACTTAACAACAACAACAACATCTAGACAAGATGAAAACTATTCAGTGGGGACTCTATCTTTCCCCTCACATTCTTAAACTAAACTCCCTCTTGAAAACATATAAGCCAGAGTCACTTTGTACCTTTATCAACCCCTCATTTTAGGTAGCCAATGCCTAAATTGCCCACCCCCATCTACCCTGTAGATAGGATTGATACTTGATAGGAAGACTCCTTCCCTCTCAGCTTTAAAAAAAAAAAAAATGTTTTAAAGGGAAGGTTTTTGTAGTCTGTTTTAGACTCAATTCTAACTCATAGTGACTACATATGACAGAGTACAACTGCCTGATAGAATTTTCTTAGGCTGTAATTCAATGTGCTGGACTATAAATTGTTTGAACAGCAATGTCGTTGGTTAAAGTTCACCAGCCACTCTTCAGAAACCCTATACAGGGTTGCTATAGGTTGGAACTGACTCGATGGCACTTAACAACAACAGTGTTTATGAGACCTGATTGTTAGATCTTTAGTCTGGTGAGCTACTGATGGGTGCAAACTGTCAGCCTTTCACTTAGTGGGCTGCCAGTGTTAAGATGATAAAATAAAGGGGCTTACAGTATATAGTGGAGTCCTTGGTATGGTGCTCTAGGATAATCAGTGGACTGCTAACTGCAGGGTTAACAGTTCAAACCCACCAGCTGCTCCTCAGAAACCCCATGCAGGGTCTCAATGAGTCAGGACTGACACAACAGCACTTCACAACAACAGCAACTTATACAGTGAGCCCTGATGTGGTGCTATAGGATAAGCACTAGACTGGTAACTGCAACACCAGCAATTCAAACCTACCAGCTGCTTGTCGGAAACCCTATCAAGGTCGCTATGAGTTGGAACCAACTAGATGACCCACAGAAGCAACAACAAAACATGGTGGTGCTGTAGGGTAAGCACTGGACTGTTAACCTACAAGGTCAGCAGTTAAAACCTACTGACATCTCCACTGTCTAGTTCCAGAATAGCTTCTAAACCCCCAAAAAGGAACCCTAATTCGACCCTTCCCCCAACCCCTGACAACTACTAATCTGCTTTCTGTCTCAGTGGATTTGCCTTTTCTGGATATTTCATCTACTAGTTCTGGTGTGGCGCTGTGGGTTAATGCACTGGACTGCAAGGTTGGTTTGAACCGCAAGATCAGTGGTTCAAGCTCACCAGCCGCTCTTTGGAAACCCTATATGGGGTTGGTATGGATCGGAACCAACTTGATGGCACTTAACAACAACAACATAGGCATCATACATTATGTGATCTTCGTTTCTGGCTTCTTAGCATATTGTTTTCTAGTGTTATCCATGTTGTATCATCTATCAGTGTCTCATTTATATGTTTAAATCTCACTGTAGCACATTTTACTTGTCATTCAGCAGATGGGCATTTGGCTACTGTGAATAGTGCTGCTGTGAACATTCATGTACAGTGCTTGGAATGCATGTGACTTGAATTCTCTAGGAGAAAAATTGTTGGGTCATATAATTCTGTTCGACTTATTGAAAAACCACCAGTCTTTTTCACAGTGGAGGTGTACTATTTACATTCCCCACTCACAATGTGTGAGAGTTCTAATTTCTCCACATTTTTTTTCAACACTTACCATTTTCCATTTTTAAAATTATAGCCTCGTCCCCAGTGGGTGTGAAGTGGTATCTCAGGGTAAATTCTTGCCATTTAAAAATTTTATTCTTGAAATCAACATCAGAGCATTTCCAACGATTAAATAGGTAAAATAAATCTATTGCTAGTGTCTTTCCCAAATTAGTCAATACATTAGAACTGTTCTGTACCTGAAGGAAAAAAGTCATCTTTAAAATATGTACCTTTTGATCTCCTGTATACTCTTCACTCAAAAGGAGCTCTGGTAGCGTAGTGGTTACGAATCGGGCTGTGAACCTTAAGGTCAGCGGTTCGAAACTACCAGCCGCTCCGCGGGAGAAAGATGAGGCTTTCTACTCCCGTAAGGATTTACACCCTCGGAAACCCTGTACAGGGTTGCTATGGGTCGGAACCGACTCGACGGCACTTAACAACAACAACAACAATACTCTTCACTCACATCCCCCAAATAATCTATAGAATTTAGTCCTGTGAATGGCTTTTTTCTCTCATCTATAGGGTCCACGTCTAGGCTGGGTACTTGACATTGTGGTCAACCTGCCTCTTTAGAATCATTGAACAGGGCTTACAAGATCTCTAGTGAGAACCTGGTTGGATAATCATATCATATTAGAGTAAAAATAGGTTTTGTTTGTTTTTCATTAAATGTACCTATTAAATATATATATATATATATATGTGTGTGTGTGTGTGTGTGTATATAGTAAATCGAGTGAAGGTTTATAGAGCAAATCTTCAGTTTTACATCCAACAAATCATATACTTTGCTTCATTGCATAGTTGCAATCCCCTCCATGTACCCAGCAGTTATCACTTAACCTCTCTTCACTTTAACTATTGCATTTCTCCCCGTGTCTCCCGCTACCTTCATCTTTCTTCTTCTAACCTCCCTGTTGTTGTGTATTGCCTGCCCTGTCATCCGTGTTGGCATTGTCTACCCTGTAGTGTGTGAATAATCTCCCACCCCACCACTACTCCATCATAGATTATTTCTTCTATCAAGAGAACCTTTTTTTGACTTTTTACAACATTGGTCTCATACAGTGTTTTTGACCTTTTGTGATTAATATCACTCATCTTAGTGTCTTCCAGGTTCAACTGTGTTGTGAGGCTTTCACAGATTCATCATTATTCGTCAGTGTTTTGTAATATTTCACTGTGCGTATGTACCAAAATTCATGCAGTCATTCTTCTGTTGATGGGCATGTAAATCTTTTTAATATGGTATGCCTCTTGTTGATAGCATATTGAAGAATTCTGTTTTCTTATCCATTCTGCTCTTTATGTCTCTTGATTGGTACATTTAATCCATTTACATACAGTGTTATTATCAGTAGGTATGAATTGATTGTTGTTGTTGTTGTTCTGTGTTTTTTTGTTGTGGTGCTACTGGATTCTTTGTTCCACATAATTTTCTATGATGAGTTCATTTTGTTTGTGGATTTTCTTTTCTATTGTGTTGGTGGTGGTGGTTATGTGCCGTGGAGTCAGTTCCGACTCATCGCGACCTTGTACAAGGTTTCCAAGGCTGGAAATCTTTTTTAAATTTTAATGTACAGGTGTATTATTTTTCTTTGAGGTTACCCTGCAATTTGTTAATATTTTTCCTGCTTAAAATAGTGTTTTATCTTGAAGTATACTTAACTTCCTTCCCATTTGGAAGTTCTGTATCTACACTATTTCATCTTCTTGCTTTGTAGTTGATTTTGTTTTACATTGATATCTCTGGTTCCGTATTTTCAGTCATGTAGGTTTGTTTTACTTTAAATACTTCTATATCTGGATTGAGTTCTGGGTGACGTTGTCATGCATGTTAATCTCAGGTAGTTAGTTATTTGCTGTTGATTCTTAGTCCAAATAGTATCTGTTAGCATTTTTAGCAAAGTTGGTCTGGTTATTACAAATTCCTTAAATTTTTGTGTATAGGAAATGCCATAATTTTGCCAGCATATTTGAGGGACAGCTTTTTTAGTTGGCAATCTTTCTCTTTCAGTGTTTTATATATATATCATTCCATTGCCTTCTTGCCTGTATAGTTTCTGCTGAGAAATCAGAGTGTAGTCTTACTAGTTCTCCTTTGTTAGGTAACTTTTCGTTTTTCCTGCGCTGTTCTCAGAATTATTAACTTGTGTTTGATTTTGGAAAGTTTGAGTATGGTATGTCTTGATGATGTTCTTTCGGGATCTATCCTGTTTGGGATTCATTCACATTCTTGTATGCTTATCTTCTTGTCTTTCATGATGTTTGGGGAATTTTCTTTCAGCAACTCTTTGACCATTTTCTGTGCTTGTCTCTTCCTGTTCTGGAATTCAGATCACCCATAAGTTGTTCCTTTTCCTGGTGTCCCACATAACTCGTGGGCTTTCTCCAGATTTTCTCATGGTAGACAAGACTGCTTTCAGAAATTACTTTCAATTTCATTCACTGGTATGTATATCTGATGTAGATTTTTCATTTCTTATGTGTTCAGCTTTGCATTCTGCTTTGTTCATATATATGAGGAGCATGCCCAACCTAGAGCCAAGCACTCAAAAAACAATACTTGTTTTTAATGCGAGAGAGACACTGTTCTGCATTTTATGTCCTTAACTTTATCATATAGAGAAGGCACTAATTTTCATGAATGCTAAGAGACAGAAAAGAAGGTAAAACTATTCAAAATAATTAGCAGTTATATAGGCAAATGAAGAAAAGACAAAGAAGAAGGAAGTTTGGTATGGAAATTCTTCTGCCTGATTCACAGAGATGTTGATGCTTATCTATTTCCTGTTTACTTAATAGACTACTTTAGAATCTGCTAGTGCATCAATAATAGTAGTAGCAATAGTAGTTATTATGACTTTGGTTCTTGAAATAAATTCTGAAAATTTGATTATTGTTTGTTCATTCTCTAGGAATACAAGAGTTTCCTGAAAATATAAAAAATTGTAAAGTTTTGACAATTGTGGAGGCCAGTGTAAACCCTATTTCCAAGTAAGTTCTCTATTGCATTATAAGTTACTTTTATAAATAGAACAGCTATAAACCAGTAAAAAATAATGCTTTATATATTTTCATGGACATTCTGTATCAATCTTCAATCCATTAAAAATACCATGTTAGAGTTAAAAAATGAACACTTAGAATACATTTTAAAGTCTTTACATCACTTATGTATAAATCAGGATTCAAACAAATTATGTATTTTGTTCCAGAGCACATAGATTTTATGGGTTTAGAATTCAGGTCTCCTTGCTCAATGTAATTTGCATAATATAAAAATGGTTTTGCCTGTAATTTAGATGTGTGGAACAGTCACCCTTCTGAAAATAATTTTTTTAATTACAAGGTCAAGAAAGCAGAAAGAAAAATCATGTGAAGTTATGTTATTTTTTGATGGCAATGGCTAGAAAAAGAAAGCTTTGCTGATAACTTAGTTGTTAAATTTTGTGAAAATGGAATGCTGAAGAGAAAGATTAATAGAGTATATTTGTAGTATGGCTAAGCTGAGAGTTTAAATCAGCCTTTATTGTATTTCTTGATGAGTTTTTCCAGCATAGAGTTGCTTTTTTGTGGAATATGGAGAAATGTGAGGAAGGGAAAAATAAAATGAATTAAAGACTGATGTGTCTTACTGTGAGAGGATTTTGTATTTGTTAAAGTCTTGGACAAACTACTTTAAGATGATGTATATTCTCCTCATTGAAAATAGTGCTGTAGTGTTATGTTCTAAATCTGACTTCTTTCATAAGCCAGAAAAAATGGAAATAAAGCTAATATAAATTGATTCTTATATAATCTTAAGAATGTCAATCAGCTTTTTATATTCTATCCTTATAATCTTTTTTGTTTCTTTTAAAGGCCAAATGTTGAGATTGAAAATAATCTAAACCAGCAGTTCTCAATTTGGGGCAATTTTGCTTCCTGGGTACATTTAGCAATTTCTTGGGATATTTTTGTTGTCTGACCTTGGAAAGAGTTGTTACTAGTATTTAGTAGGTAGCAGCCAGGGATACTGCTAAATATCATACAACCCAGAGAACTGCCTTTTCACAATAAAGAATTATCCAGTTCAAAAAGCCAATACTGGAAAGGATTAGAGACTCTGAACTATCATTTTGAATTGATGAAAAGCTTGATGTTATTATATGTTATATAAGGTGAATTTTGGGAATGTCTGCTGACTTCAGTTATGTCAGGAATACATTTCTGTGTAAGTGGGTTTACTGGGTTAAATTGTATATTGAGACAAATACTGTCGTACAGCTTTTTAGAAAGAAAGAAAGACATAAACACTGAAAAAGATAACTTTTTAGTGAAGGTAAATCTCACATTAAGGATAGCTAGTGGAAATAAAGAGGTAACTTATCTAGTTACACAAATTCCTGAAGAGATATTAGTAAGAGACTGAAATTCTGTATATGAACTTAATTTAAATGTTGGTGTGTTTTATTTAGGCTTCCTGATGGATTTTCTCAGCTGTTAAACCTAACACAGTTATATCTGAATGATGCTTTCCTTGAGTTTTTGCCAGCTAATTTTGGCAGGTAATTTATAATTTATTCTAAAACCTCTTATTGCTGCCTCTTGTAGATATTACAAAAATACAAGTTGTTTTAGTAATATTATTAACTACAGTTTCTTAGCCTCTTCTTTTATGATTATTTCTACATGTGATTCTTAGAGGTATCTTTGATCTTGTTATTTTTTAAGTAAACAATAAGCAGCCATAGTTTAAAAAATTTTTTTTAGAGAATTTAAAATTTAAAGAATATAAACTAATGGAGTTTAAATGGAATAATGTCTGTATATTGGGAAACTAAATGCTTTATTCTCAAAATTTATCACTATCCCAAGTTATCTAATTTACTGGCATGCGTCTTCCCCACTATAAAAAATATTCTTGAGAAAAGCAGATGTGTTTCTGGGCTTACCCCACCACCATTATCAGCACCTAGACATACTGTATTCCCTCCCCTATGGCTCCCCCCACCCCAGGTGAATAGGAAAAAAAGAATGAATTATAGGTATCAAATTAATATGGAATTAAAGTTAATTACTAGAGGGAAATGCTATTCAACTACCTGTTAGGTTTATAGTCACCTTTTTTCTAAAAGTAATTCGTGTACTTGTCAGATTCTGTGTGTGACAACATATATATGGACCACTTCATTTCCTCCTTTTTCTCTCTGTAGTGCCATTGGAACCACTGAAGAGCCAGAGGATTTCTCCTTTTCCATGTTCCTTTGTTTCCTTTATTGGTTCCTTCTTAGAGTTGAATTGTTATTCTCCAATCTACTAACATTACCATATATTACATTTCAGATAAAAAGACAGGAAATATTTTAGGATTGATAAGGGAATAGTTTGTCACTTTGAAAATGTCAGGAAGGGCTTACATTTTTTCCCCTTGTAATTCTTAGGAGTGCAGAGATCATCTTTTCCCACTTATATTTCTTTGTATTCGTCTGTATTTTTTACTATACCACTCTGTGTATAGTGAACTGCACAATGAATATTGGTTGCTTTATACTTTAGAGTGTTACATTAATTTGTTCATTAAGTTCTTTGCCAGATGTTTGATTTATTTTCTTTGTTTGGCAGATTAACTAAACTTCAAATATTAGAACTTAGAGAAAATCAGTTGAAAATGTTGCCAAAGTAAGTAAAGTGCTATCTTTTTTAACATTAAATTTAGAAATGTTGATTTTTTAAGTCCTTAGAGAAATGAAAAAGAAAAACTTTTTTTTTTTTTTTTTTTTTAGTAAAATGGTGTTTTAAGTTATTTTAAAAAGTGTCACCCATTTTGTGGTCATAATATTTTCATTAGTGGTGTTTAATGCAAAATTCTATATTGATGTTAACTGGATACTATGTCAGTAGGAAGAGTATTGGTGTGGCATTGTAGGATAAGCACTTGACCTCAAGGTTGGTTTGAACCACCCCTTGGAAATCCTATATAGGATTGCTAAGAGTCGGAACTGACTCAACAGCACTTAACAAAATATCAGTAGGATAAGCACTGGCCTACTAACCAAAAGGTTGGCAATTCATCCCCACCAGTCACTCCTTGGAAAACCTATATAGGGTTACTATTAGTCAGAACTGACTTGATGGCACTTACCAACATGTCAATGGTGATTTCTTAGTTCTTTGGGACTCAGTCTCCTGTGACACTCAAGTCATAAATAAGTATGCAAAGCTTACTTGAGTCGAACAAAGAAGTCTCAGATTCACAAACTACAGCTCTTACATATTACTCATTAATGAGATCCATGGTGGTGGTGGTGTTGCTAAGATTATCGAGTTGGTTCCAACTCATAAACAACCCTGTATAAGGTTTCTGAGGGGTAACTGGTAGATTTGAACTCAGACCTTGCAGTTAGCAATCCAGTGCTTCTTCTACAGTGCCATACCAGAACTCCAAAGAGATCCATTGGATCAGATAATTATAGTCAAGGACTTAATTATCTGGTTTTCTAGTTCATTATAAATTAAATTGAGTTGTTGTTGTTGTGAAGTGCTGTCTAGCAGGTTCCACCTCATAGCAACCCTGTGTAGGGTTTCCAAAGTTTTCAGTCGTTGACCTTGTGGTACCAGTCCATTACTTATCCTGAAGCACCACACCAGGACTCCAGAAATTGTTGGAGGGCCCCTATTTGTAAGCAATGAAGAAGGTAAGACAAATAGAAACAGGTCTACAAATTCAAAATGCACTGTAGCCTGTAGCCTTTTATTGAATGCATTCCTATATTGTGATTTAGGAGTTGACAAACTACAGTGTTAACGACTAAATTTGGCCCACTGCCTGCTTTTGTTCGTTTACATATTGCTTTTGGCTGCTTCTTCCCTACAGTGTATAGTTGAGTAGTGTGACAGATTGTATGATCCATTAAGCCTAAACTATTTAATCTCTGTACATTTATAGAAAGAAATGTTCAATTCCTGTTGTAGTTGATTTATCAATACTTAATTGCCACCTTTTAGGAGAGAAACACCTCCAGTACCCACAGGAATTAATTGTTTTGTTTACTCTGTTTCTGTGATATCTTTTTTTATATCCGTTATAACATTTACCACTTTATTTTAATGTATTTGTTTTTATACATGCCCTTTCCTTCTTCCCTGATCAGCTTATGACATGTTTTTCACATAAACAAATGTATCCACACATATAACACTCATAACACACCTAGGAAAATGATGAGTGTTGCTTGGGCAGCAAAAAACCTTATAATGAGTATGTTCTTTGCATAAAACACCTTATACACTGTTTTAAGACTTTGAGGGTAAGGACCATGCATAGTTTTCCTTCCCAAAGGACAGTGTGCTCACAGAGAGAGAGATTTTTCTGCATATTCCAGTTACAGTGAACAACATTGTGCCCATCTTTGTTGTTGTTGTTTTTTTGGGTGCATTGTATCATTAGTAATACATACTACAAACAGACCATCAATTGCTCATATGCAAATTCAAACTGAAGTTGAAGAAAATGAAAACAAGTCCACGAGAGCCAAAATATGACTTTGAGTATATCCCACCTGAATTTAGAGATCATCTGAAGAACAGATTTGATACATTAAACACTAAAGGCTGAAGACCAGAAGAGTTCTGGGATGACATCAAGGACATCATACGGTAGAAAGCAAAAAGTCATTAAGAAGACAAGAAAGAAGGAGAAGATCAAAATGGATGTCAGAAGAGACACTGAAACTTGCTCTCCAGGTAGAGATACTAAAATAAGTGGAAGAAATGAGGAGGTAATGAGAGCTAAACAGAAAATTTCAAAGGTCAGCTCAAAAAGATAAAGCCAAATATTACAACAAAATGTGCAAAGATCTGGAATCAGAAAACCAAAAAGGAAGAACACACTCATCATTTCTCAAGGTGGGGGAATCGAAGAAAAAATTCAAGCCTTGACTTTCGTTATTGAAAGATTCTCTGGGCAGATTATTTGTAGAAAGCATGAAGAAAAGATGAAAGGAATACACAGTCACTGTACCAAAAGGAAATGGCTGATGTTCAACCATTTCAAGAGGTAGCATATCATAAAGAGCCAATGATACTGAAGGAAGAAGTCCAAGCTGCATTGAAGGAATTGGCAAAGAACAAGGCACCAGGAATTGATGGAATAAAAATTGAAATCTTTCAATAAAGTTAAGCAGCACAGGAGGCACTCACTCATCTCTGCCAAGAAATTTGGAAGACAGTATCTGGCCGACTGAGTGGAAGAGATCCATATTTGTGCCCATTCCAAAGAGAGGTGACCCAATGGAATGCGGAAGTCATTGGAAAATATCTTTGATATCCCATGTGAGTAAAGTTTTACTGAAGGTAATACAGAAACGGCTACAAGCGTACATTGACAGAGAACTTCCAAAGGTTCAAGCTGGATTCAGAAGAAGCCATGAAACAAGGGATATCATTGCTCATGTCTAGTGGATCTTGGCTGAAAGCAGAGAATATCAGAAAGCTGTTTACCTATGCTTTATTGACTATGCAAAGGCTTTCAATTGTGTGGATCATGACAAGCTATGGACAATATTGTGAAGTATGAGTATTCCGGAACACTTAATTGTGCTCATGAGGAATCTGTATATGGACCAAGAGGCAGTTGTTCGAACAGAATATGGGAACACTGAATGGTTTCTAATTAAGAAAGGTGTGTGACAGGGTTGTATTATTTCACCATACTTATTCATCCTATATGCTGAGTCCTGGTGTGGTGCTGTGGGTTAATGCACCAGACTGCAAAGCCATTTGAACTGCAAGGTCGGCAGTTCAAGCTCACCAGTCGCTCCTCAGAAACCCTGTATAGGGTCGCTGTGGGTCGGATCCCACAACTACAACATGCTGGGCAAATAATCTGAGAAGCTGCATTATATGAAGAAACACATGGCATCAGGATTGGAGGAAGACTCATTAACAACTGTGATATATAGATGATCCAACCTTGCTTGAAAGTGAAGAAGACTTACTTCATTTTTTTTTTTTCAAATATTTTTTACTTCAAAAAATATTTACTGATGAAAACCAAAGACCACAGGCTTCGGTATGGATTGCATCTCAATGTAAAGAAAACAAAAATCCTCACCACTGGACCAATAAATAGCATTCTTATCAATGGAGAGAAGATTGAAGTTTCAAGGACTTCATTCTTCTTGGATAACTATCAACACTCATGGAAGCAGCAGTCAAGAGTTCAGACAACGTATTGCATTAGGCGTGTCTGTTGCACAAGACTTATTTAAAGTGTTGAAGAGCAAAGATGTCAGCTTGAGGACTAAGGTGTGCCTGACCCAAGCCATGGTATTTTCAATAACCTCGTATGCATGCGAAATCTGGACATTGAATAAGGAAGACCATAGAAGAATTGATACATTTGAGTTATGATGTTGGGGAGAATATTGAAAGTGCCATGGACTGCCAGAGAACCAACAGATCTGTGTTGGAAGAAGTGCAACCAGATTACTCCTTGGAGGCCAGGATGGCCAGACTTCGTCTCTCATACTTTAGACATATTGTCAGGAGGGACCAGTCGTTGGAGAAGGATATCATGTTTGGTAAGGTGAAGAGTCAGAGGAAAAGAGGAAGACCCCCAGCGAGATGAATTGGCAAAGTGGCAGCATCAGTGGGCTGAAGCGTGGCAATGATAGTGAGGTTGACCCGGGATCTGGTAGTATTTCATTCTGCTGTGCATAAGGTCACTATGAGTTGGTACCGACTCAATGGCACCTAACAACAACAGCAGTGCATAGTTTTCTGATGTTTGTATGTAATGTTTCCAACCCCCACAGACAAAGATTAGACTTAAAAGACACTATATTTAACCTGACTCAAGATAGAGTCCTCAGAATGTAATCCCATTATCAATTAGAAATGTTTATTCAGTGGAATGAAGTTTATAGTGAATATAAATTATATTGTTAATTATTTTTCATAAAAATTTAGTACTTAAATAGTTTACAAATTCCAATAATCAAAATTTGACGCCATAGTAGTTTCTAAGAGATAGAATAAACCAATATGAGAAGTGTTTACTGTGGTTTCTAATTAGTTAATATGTTCTTTCTAATATCATAATTCTTTCTTGCTTTCTAAGACTTATGATAAACTTAAGTAATTGATAATATTTTATTGTGTTTTAGATGAAAGTTTGCACAGGAAATTAGATTCCCTTTAATAATCCTTATACAAATTATTCCAAGCCAATTGTTACAATTTTTACAGTATGTCAGTGTTGTCATTATTTCTGTTCTGTTTTATTTCCATTGGCTTATGTTCCTTTTCTCTCTTTGCCATATCGCCTTTAATATTGGGTCTATGTTGATGGTTTGAATTGTTCGGTCGCATGCAATTCATTGTAACTATAGTGAAGTGTAAGACATGTAAGGCTACCTTTTTTTCCTTCTCCACTTCTTACAGTTCTCTTTACATGTCCATGCTACTGGTATAGTAGTATGGGTGGTGATTATATGCCGTCGAGTCAGTTCTGACTCGAGGCTGTAAATCTTTATGGGAGCAGAAAGCCTTGTCTTTTTCCTGTGGAGCGACTGGTAGATTCAAACTACTGACCTTGCAGTTAGCAGCCCAGCTCATAATCTGCTATGCTACCGAGGCTCCTTGGTAGTATGGATGTTGTTGTTGTTGTTCCTAAGTGCCACTGAGTCAGTTCTGACTCTTAGCCACACTATATAGGGTTTCCGAGGAGTGGCTGGTGGGTTTAAGCTCCTGACTTTGTGCTTTGTAGTCCAGTGCTTATCCAACAGCACCACACCAGCAGTCTTCTTAGCGTGGATATAACAGTTTAATTACGTAGCATGAGATTTTACACTTCTGGCGAAAAACGTGGAAACACCTTTTGTTGTATTCTGAAATCAAACAAGAAGTTACTTCTGTGTTTTCTGGAGCAAGAAAATGAGATGAGTAAGGGAAGTAAACCTACTATAGTACTTCATAATACCTGAGAAATAGGCACTCAATAAATCCTAAATTACATAAAGCAACTTGGAGAAAAATGAGCTGTTGTGCAATGAAGGCAATCAAAGGCATGATAAAACCTGACATATTTAAAACAGAAGTGTTTTACATTTTCCACCAGTAGTGTGATGATACATTCTCTTATACTCATGCACTAAAAACTGGAGAAATGTTTTAACTTGCTTATTTTTCACTTTATGAGTTGGAACCGACTCCACGGCACACAACAGCAACATTTTTCACTTTTAATTATAATTAATTGAATTTCCAAAAGATACATTTTTTGGTATGTGTGTGTTCTTGTGTCACATAATTTAAGAAGCCTGTTTGGGTTTTAATGATACTAAATTCCAAGTTGTTATGAATGTATTAATGTAATATATTGGAAATATGATTATTGTATTTTATTCTCATTTTATCATAACATAATATGTTTTAAAATGTAGACTTATATATCTTGGTAGCACCTCAAATACCAAATAATGTTTTATACAAATAGCAGTTTAAGTGTATACTTAAATGTTTTGACTTAATTAACATTTAACTTGTACAGTTGCCTTCATAGATAGATAAAAATACAACTTAGCATAGTTGCTTGAAAAATCAGAGTGTATATTTCTCAAGACCCTGTATTTGTATTAAAGTTTTGGAAGTTGAAATGACATATAATTATCATTTTAATTGGAAATAAATATCTTCAGTTTTGGTATTTATAGTTTTCATGAAGTTTTATTTTTAATTTGAAAAGGCCACTGTTAAACTTAACAGTTCCTCTTTTTTTTAGAATTCTGAACATTATTTTTGAGTTATAGGCATCTTGACATTTTATAAATATATGAGCAACCTTGAGAGATGCTAGAAATAATTTGTAGCTACCAGACAGATATGTGGTGGCTCTGTAGGATAAGCACTATACTGTGAACCACAGTTCAGTGATTTGAGCTCATCCTCAGCCACTCTGCGGGAGAAAGGTAAGACTGTCTACTCCTTCAAAGATTTATAGCCTTAGGTACCCTACACTGGGACACTGTGAGTCGAAACTGACTTGATGGCACTTAACAATAGCAACCAGAATGGTAGTCCTGATATGGTAGTATAAGATAAGCAGTGGATTGCTAACTGCAAGGTCAGTGGTTCAAACCCAGTAGCCACTCCTTGGAAACCCTATACAGGGTCACTGTGAGTTGGAACTGACTCAATGACACTTAACAATAAAACAACCAGGCATGCTAATTCATTAGCTGATTTATACAGTAAGAAAATTTGCTCTGTGAAAAATAGTACAATCTATTCATATTCTTGTAGTCCCTTTAAATTTACCTCAATTACTTTGTAGTGGTTACAAATCGGGCTGCTAACCTCAAGGTTGGGAGTTGAAAACTACCATCTATTCCGTCGGAGTAAGATGAAGCTTTCTGCTCCCGTAAAGATTTACAGCCTCGGAAACCCTGTGCCAGGGTCGCTATGAGTTGGAACCGACGCTACGGTACTTAACAACAAAAACAACTTCTTTAGAAGTCAAGTGAGAAGATATGAGAAATTAAAATTAGAGAATAATTGATAACCTAATTCTTTTCATAGGAAGTTAAAATAACTTATTTTCTTAGAAAATTATCATTGTTATTTTTTAAACATGAAAGTCATACACATTGAATAAAGTGTATGTTCGTCGTTGAATGTTGTTGGTGGTGGTGTCAAGTGGTTCTGACTCATAGCTACCCTGTATAGGGCTTCAGAAGCTGTAAAAAGAACAGAAAGGTTCACCTTTTCCCCCATGGAGTGGCTGGTGGATTTGAACTTCTAACTTTGTGGTTTGAGGTCCAGTGCTTAACCTACAGGGCCATCATACTCCCCCATTAAATAGTACATAAGAATATTTAAACTGTGAAATTTGAAAGTTTCCATGTAATTGATATCATTAATCCATTTTGAATAGAACCATGAATAGACTGACCCAGCTGGAAAGATTGGATTTGGGAAGTAATGAATTCACAGAAGTGGTAAGTATCTCACTATCCATTGTTGCTGTTAGGTACCATTGAGTTGGTTCTGACTTATAGAGATCCTACATGCAACAGAATGAAATCCTGTCTTGTCCTGAGCCATCTTCATTGTGCTCTATTAGTTTGTTGAAACATATCAGTTAGTATACAATTCCTGGAGCCTGGTTTTTCACTAATGCCTTCAGTGTAGTTTGGACTTTTTCCTTCAGTACCATCAGTTCTTGATTATATGCTGGTAGAATATCAACCAATTCTTTTTGATACAGTGACTCTATATTCACTTGATCTTCTTATGATGCATTCTGCTTTATTCATTATTTTGCCTTTTGTAGTTGTTGTTAGGTGCCATCTTGTCGCTTCTGATTTATAGTGACCCTATGCACAACAGAATGACACACTGCGCACCATCCTCAGAATTATTTGAACCTATTGCTGCTGAAACTGTGCTAGTTCATCTTGTTGGGGTTCTTCCTCTTTTTCACTGACCATCTATTTTACCAAGCATGATGGTCCTCCAGGGACTGGTCCCTCTAGATGCCTGAAGGATGAGAGACAAAGTCTTGCCATCCTAGCTTCTAAGGAGCATTCTAGCTGTACTTTTTCCAACACAGATCTGTTTGTTCTTCTGTCCCTGGTACCGTCAACATTCTGCTCCACCTCCACAACTCAAATGCCTTCTTTTACAGTCTTCCTTATTTATTGTCCAACTTTCACATACATGAAGCTATGGAAAATACTGTGGCATGGGTCAGGTGTACCTTAGTCCTCAAACTGATATCTTTGCTCTTCAACACCGTAAAGGTGTCTTGTGCAGCAGATTTGCCTAATGCGGTATGCTGTTTGATTTCTTGACTGCTGTTTCATAAATCTTCCTCCAATCTTGATCACATTCTTTTTCATATAATCCAGTTTCTTGGATTATTTGCTCAACATACAAATTGAATGAGCATGGTGAAAGAATACAACTCTGGCTCACACCTTTCCTGATTTCAAACCATTCAGTATCCCCTGGTTCTGTTTGAACAACTACTGCTTTGTCTATGTACTGATTACTCATGACCACAATCAAATGTTCTGGAATACCCATTCTTCTAAGTATTATCTATATCTTATCATGATGCACATAGTCATAAGCCGTTGCATGGTCAAAAAAGCAAGAGCAAACATCTTTTTGCACATTGAATCCTTTAATATTTCAAGTCAAGATTTGAATTTTTATTATTTGGTTACACCTTAGTTTATTTTACTTTTCCTTATTATAGGATGTATCTTGGTTTCCCCCCTTCCTTTCTTTCTTTATATTTCTTCCCCTTCCTTTAATAATGTTACCATGGAGCACCTTGTGATTTTCTTTAGATGAGATCATTTCTCTCAAAGTTGACATCTATTTATTCACACATGAGTATTTCTTTTAATTCTATTCCTGCAAACATGGTTTTGTTTATTATGATTAATACTGAATTAATTTTCTTTATTGATCTTGCAAAGTAATCTTTTTTATATCAACTATATAATACTTTACCCTGTATGTAATACAAAGCTTAAATGAGTTTTATGTAATTTACTGTTTTAGAATGACCATCTAAGAGTTTCTCTTTATTTCCATTGTGGTGTAAACAGTTAACAATCTTGACTGGTTAACCCAAAGATTGGAGATTTGAGTCCACCCAAAAGCACTTTGGAAGAAATTATATAGTGATCTATTTCTTTAAAAAACAAGGCATTGAAGACTCTATGAAGTACAATTCTACTCTGACATACATGGGGTGCAGAGGGTCACCATAAATCAGAATCAACTTGATGACAACCATTTTTTTAAATGTTATTGTAGTAATTGTCCTGGCTCTTTGTAGCTATGTGACTTTGGACAGTTCATTTAACTTTGATTCATCTTATAAAGTATGTATTATACATTTAACAAGTTGTTGCCATAATTAATTAAAGCACTTTACAATATAACAAATCCTAATGCATGTTGCAATCACATTTTAAGAGAGGTATATTCTACAATTATTTTGCAAGTTCATCATCACAATAGTTCTTCCCAGTAGCTGAAACTATTCTCTAGTTAAACATCTGAGACTAAGAAGTTATCATTAGAAATTTCCATGGAGTTGTCTTACCAAATAAAGACATTCAAGAAAATTGATTCTCTGCCCCTCTCACCTATCCAAACAGCCTGAAGTTCTTGAGCAGTTAAGTGGATTAAAAGAATTTTGGATGGATGGTAATAGACTCACTTTTATTCCAGGGGTATGTATATTGAATGTTAAATGTTTTTACTTATTGTTGTCTATTCTTTGCAGTTTTATAATTGTGCTCTTACAAGTGACTTTTAATTAGTAATAAAATTTATTTAATTCTTAATAGTATTAAACATAAATTATTATTTTGTTGTTGTTGAAAATAAACAAACTCTTGATTAAATAAGAAAATATCCTGAATAAACTTTGTCTAATTGTCTTTTTTTAAATACTGTGTAATGTGTCCTTGGAGTCCTGGTGTGGCACTGTGAGCTAATGTGCTGGACTGCAAAGTCTGTTTGAATTGGAAGGTTGGCAGTTCAAGTACACCAGTTGCTCCTCAGAAACTCTATGCAGGGTCCCTATGGGTTGGAAGGACTTGACAGCACTAACAACAACAACATGTGTTATTATATTCCAATCCAATTTGCCAAGGGAATTGATAAATTACGAAATTATTCATATGCTTTCTTCTCAAATGATGCAGTCAGTGTACATTCCAAGATTCAAAGAAGTCATGAAAATCCCCATATATGTTATTTTCTGTATTTTCTGTAGAGGTGATGGGTAGTTGAGTTGTCAAAGAAAAGTATGTTGTTTGTCATTCTGCTCAGTTAAAATCCATAGGCGCTCTTATCTTTTATTACTGAATACATTATAATGGCAGCTAAGTTATTAATTCTTTCTCATATGAACATTTCATTATGAATTATAACTTGCTATTAGATCTATCTGATCCACCTAAATTAAAAAAATTAATGTTAATGGAGTCACTAGATTTCCTTTTTTTATTTACAGTTTATCGGTAGTTTGAAACAGCTTACATATTTGGATGTTTCTAAAAATAATATTGAAATGGTTGAAGAAGGAATTTCAACATGTGAAAATCTTCAAGACCTCCTGTTATCAAGCAATTCACTTCAACAACTGCCTGAGACTATTGGTTTGTGTTGCTTTTAAATTCTAATAATTAGTTTTTACTAAGGTAAAATGTAAGAAATGAAGTCTTTGCCCCTGCTTGTTTCCAAGCTTTCATATATTATCAAAATTTACTTCTTCTGATGTAGTTTTTCTGTACTGATGTGTGATCATTCGGTTCACTTTACTTTTTTGAGTTTACTCTTTTGATGACATTATTTTGCTTTTCTTTGCTATAAGGAAATCTCTTTTATCACAATTTATAATTTATAAGAAGTTGGTTTATTCAAACATTAACTCTTGATTATTATAGCCCTTATTTGGTAACTTTTTTACAGGCCTACTTCATTATAGACTCACAGACAAGAGACCAGTCTAAAGTGAACAACTCCTAGTGAGTTTATATTTGTGCAGTTACTTGTCTGGTGATGTATGTCAAGGAAGTTGATTTATTTTGATGAGAGGACCATTAAAAACAAACCACTGAATCTTTTTTAAAAAAACAGACTTCTCAATTGAGTTATATAGTTGTTTTGGTGGTGGTTATGTGCCATGGAGTCAGTTCTGACTCATAGCGACCCTGTACAGGATTTCCAAGGCTGTAAATCTTTATGGGAGCAGAAAGCCTCATCTTTCTCCCACGGAACAGCTGGTAGTTTAGAACTGCTGACCTTGTGGTTCACAGCCCAATTCGTAACCACTACGCTACCAGAGCTCCTTTTATCTCAGGTTAAATTTTACAAATTAGGAATTAATCTTCTTTAATCTTTTTATTTAAAAAATCCCCATTTTGATATTTAGTATTTATAAAATATAGTTTATGCAATAAGCTACATTCATTTTATCATTTCTGTAATCTGTAAATTCAACAAATTTGTGTTGTGTGTATCTTTTCTGTGCCAGGCATTCATCTAGTAGTGTGGTTACAGTAGTGAACAAAACTGACCAAAAGTCCATATTTGCATGGTTGCATTCTAGTAGAGATTTATAGACAAATTTACAATATGCTAAAAGGTGTAATATACATGAAATTTTTCGGATAAGGACTAGAGAGTAATAAAGTTGGGATGGTGTCTCTCAGATACATTGATGAGGAAAGTTCTTTCTAATTGTCAAAGGTGCTCACATTGACTGTTGGTAAATTTTCTTCTAGTTCTTGTTGAAAATGTTATGTGGTATCTTTTCTCAATAGGTTCGTTGAAGAATGTAACAACTCTAAAAATAGATGAAAACCAATTAATGTATCTACCAGACTCTATAGGAGGGTAAGATTTTTATAAATTAAAATATTGGATGTTTACTTTCAGTTCAGCATGATATATATATTTTTTGTTAAGTGCTGTCGAGTCGGTTCAACCCATAGTGACCCTGTATAGGGTTTCTGAGGAGCAGCTGGTGAGCTTGAACTGACAACCTTGCAGTTCAAATGGCTTTGCAGTGT